CTTGCACCCAAGTGGTCGTTTGCGCTTGAATCAATCGTGTCCGTTTGAGTGACTTCACATTTGTTTGCTGCGTGGAGGATGCTCGAGTACAGGCCAGGCCATCACTGAGGTTCACCGGCGTGAAGAGAAGGTGCGGATCGTCGCTCAGATGAGACCAAATGTCTCCGTTGAACTGTTGGCCTCCCGTCCAGTAAACGCCTCGCCGTCCATCATGCCATATACAAAACATTCACCGATGAGCTTGTAGTACGATCGCACCTTCCGAAGGACAACAGGGACACTGCATCCATAGAGGATCGCTACTATATCGTCTAGTCCTGTTTCAGGCGGGCACAGGGCGAGAGAGAGGCTCTCCTCATCCTTCAGGTCGATTGCCGCCAAAGTCCTACCCCAGACGGCCTCTTGGACACGGTTCAGAAATTCATGGACATGAGTCGACTTCAGCGTCTTCAGGAGGAAAGTCGTGTCGATATCGTCCCTGACACTTTGGCGGAATGCAAACTGGCAAGCTCTTCCATACCACTCCTGCACGGCTTTCCTCTCGGAGCTGCGATCACCCACCAGGGCTCGCCAGAATGGACCGGGGACGGGGTCTTCTACATCATTCCATCCACCCATGTTCATCCACTCCCCCGGGAGAGTCGCATTCATCAACCTCTGTCCGAATTTCTTGAAGCTCCCTAGACGAAACCACGAGGCGGTTAATATCCGCTGGGTGTCTTCCGTTCGGAAGCTGACGTGGTCTTGAGGTGTGGTTTTGCTGCAAGCGCGATACGGCCCTTGAGTGTGGCATTCCTACCAACGATACCCCCTGCTGCCGATCGAACTGGAAGTCTGAGGCACGTCGTCTGAATGTGTACTTGGTGATTGTAGGGATCCAAGACGGGAGACCGCACTTTGGCGCCCATGGCTGCATATGATGTCGAGAAAGTGTGACCACTCGACCACCAACTTTGTTATGTCCTGGAACAACTCCTCCGGCTGCAATCTATAATCCACTCGTAGGGTTCGGCAGCCGACTCCGTCTTTGGCAAGGTCAATGATGGCGTAGACAGTATCAAGCAGTTCACTGACCTCGAAGGTCGGCAACAGAGAAAGCAGCGTTTCCAAATCCAGTAGGCGCTGTACAATGTTGCCTTGGGTGTCTTTGCGAAAGATCAGCCGGGAGACCTCAAGCAAGGAAGCCGCACCCAGCTACTGCGTGTCCCCTAATTCTAGGTTGTCTTCGTCGGAGAGAGAGAGACTCTGTTGCAGATCAGACCACTTGGACCGGAGTAAGACGGCAACATCCACGAAGTCCTGCCATGGAATGACGCGGTCGCCGCAGTGTACCGTGGCAGCGCGGGAGGGTAATATTTCTTGCACAACAAATCTTCTTTGGAAGTACGGTCGAGACTTGAGTTTTGTAAGTTCCAGCCATTGCCGCTTGTTGCTCACGTCCTTGACAAGCTCTTCAAGACGGGCTAAGTCAAGAATCTGAGGAATAAAGTCGAGAGCGTCGACAACGGCCTGATCCGCTGGGCCCGACCTGTGGTTCTATGAAGCGCTCGTCAACATGCCACTCAACTCTGGGACCTCTCACGCGCCTTGACTCGTAGCAATTAATCACAAGTTCATCCCTGCGCTCTTCTTGCCTCAACTGTCTACTTGTATGTGTTGCCATGGATGAGGATGAGAATGCGAGCTTGGGCAAGGCAACCGACAAGGAGCTTAGCAGGCTCATTTGCGAGCCCGGTCGGAGCATGAGGAGGACAAGATGAATCGACCCGATGACACTCAGAACAGGATGCGAATGACTCGACACAGGTAAACAGAGGAGAGACGAGAGGCGCAACCAGGTTCAGACTGGTTGGCTGCTGTTTTTCATTGCACCTGCTCAGGAAGCTCCTTCCAGTTTCCATCACCGGTGGTGCACCCAGTTTGAAATCTTACAGCCAGATTCGAGCATAACTGCCCCAGCGGCATGCTTCTTGCATTGGAAGCGTTGACAACATTGGACTGCTGGGATGATTCGTGACAGACTGAATTTAGCCCGCAAGGAGTTCCGTCAACCACCAATCCAACACCAATGCAGTCAGACTGGGACAAAAGACCACACAAAAAGCTCGGTGGTGTCTTGTCTTCACAGATGGAGTTATATTCGCCCAGGCCTCTTCCAAACATGGCCAACACAAATGCAGTGCATTCCCGGACTGGGATCTTCTCCTCTTACCGGGTAGGGCCGAAGTCGATACAGGCAGTCTTGCAGAGCTTGGCGAGCAGTACCATGCCCGGTACAGGGCAGGGCTTGAGTGTGTTCAGGCTCTTTACAGAGATGGCTTCAAGCCAGCTGGTGGGAAGTGTCTCATGTCCGCATTCATATCGACGGGCCCCCAGCTGGGCCCACAATCTTCAAGCTGGATTTACCTTGCCGGGTCTCCTCAATCTGGGTATAGGCCAACCAGTAGCGACTGGGATGCCACTCCACAGCTGGGATCCCACTTGTGCCCGTCGCGATTGTGTGGACCACGTCACCAGTCTCGGCATGGTATATCTCAAAGCCCGAGCTGAGGCCCTCGCCGCCGCCGGATCCCATCTCTTCGCTCGCGCCTACGAGGTATCGGCCGTCCCACGACCAGCTGAGACCGCGGATTGCGCCGGAGCTTGCATTGGACACCGTTCGGCGACACACCCAGTCGGTGGTGTCCCATAGGGAGATCATGGCATCTGAACCGCCGACCGCCATATATTTGCCGTTGGGGCAATAGGAGATGGCAGTGCAGGAGGAAGTGTGTGCGGATATGGTGTGCAGGGGGGCCATAGACGGGTAGTCGAGGATCTTGACGGAGCCATCTCCTTGTGTTATGATGAGGTCCGCAGGAGGATATGCATTAGAGAAGGTCGTCTGGTTAGTTTGCTGGTGCTGTTTGTGGCGCGACAGAATGTGCGGCGAGGAGGGTATCGCGGTTGAGATGGGGATGAGAACGTCGCCCTGTGATGGGTCTAAGTTTCCGTTGTTGTTGTCATCATTGTTGGCCAGGATAGCTCGGGGAGCGAACGCACCTTGGTCCCCGCCAGCAGTACACTTCCATCGACACTCCAGCTCAGCGTGAACGGTTCTCCGCCCACGTCCAGTTTGCTCACGCAGGCCTTTGTCCGTGTGTCCCAGAAGCGCACTGTCCCGTCCGACGCGCAGCTGGCCAGCTCGAACTCCCGCACGGGGTTGAACAGGACTTTCTCCACCGCATGTCCGTGGCCTCTGAGCTCGATCTGACTGCGTGGGCTTGTGCGTTCTACATTCCACACTCGAATACTCTTGTCATTGGCGCCGGTTGCAATCAACCCGCCGGATGCATTCCATGAGATGGTTCGGTGGCTGTGAGGCGTGAGGGAAACGAATCAGCCGTCATGTGTCATGCGTCATCTCGTTTGGGGGTCTTTCGGTTCGTGAAAATAGGACAGGTTCGCATGCATAGACTTGCAGGGTACGTACATGGTCGGGACTGCTGTACGGGTGGCAGGATCGGTGTACTGCTGTGTCTTGAGCAGACTGAATTGGGTTCCAAACTTGTCGCGGCCAAGGTGCTTGCGCTGGCTAATAGGCGCCATGTCAGCGCCGTCAACAAAACGTAGTGCGGGAACGACGAGGACAAATGCTGGGTAAACGGTGCGTCGGCGGGTTGATTGATACCTGCTCACCGAGCGTGCCGCTTTTGGCCGCGGCTGTTAAGGTATTCCGGGTAGCCGCTCCGATTGGCCCATACAGTAGCTGCTCAGTTAGCGCCCTCGGTGCACTTGCCACATACGACTTGTTAGTATTCATCTTCCACACCCACTCCCTCTGTGTCTACAAGTCCTTCGTACTGTCCGCTCGACCAAGCTGCAACGTCTACAGTGCTTGTGGTGCCGTGAAGTTCAAGAGCAACGGCCCCTTTGGGTCAGAGAGAACAGCATCTCCGCACGCTAAACTTGCGCTTAGACTTGATCAGGATGCAGAGAACCATGAAAACACGAGGAAGTTCCTATTGAGTCTCATACTGGCTGAAGGTCCTCCAGGCGGATAATGCTGAGTAGGTCTCGTTGATCCTCTGTCCTCGTTGAATAAATCGATAATATGCATTCTCTATGGTCCCGCTGCCGACAAAACTCTCGCAAGGGAGAGACGCAGAATGCGAGTGTATCGATCCGTGAGCTAGTGGAATTGCTCCCAGGGATTGCAAAGCGCGAACGAGAATCTATTGATGCCTTCACGGTGAAGCTGGGCTTACCGTTTATCCAACATTGAGCAGAAAATCAGTTTGTGGAGGCCAGTTTGCAGGGCTATGTCCAGGTTGAGCAATCAAGGGAGACGATGTTCAGAGTTGCGTAGTTGCACCATAATCGAACTATTCAAGTGATGCGCTGCCACTACGTACGCATCTACTCGGTTCAAGAGAGTATATCGGATAAAAGTCGTTACAAGTAAGCGCTTCAAATATTTTTCAATCAGATCCGAATACGGAAGAGGGTGTCCGGACATCGAAGTCGTGGGCTACTGTGAAGTTGCTCAAGCGGCTAATTTGTTGGGCAGTCCAAAGCGGATGCTGTCGCTCGGCGTACAAGTACACAATAGACAGCTGGTCAAGGCGGCGAACCTCTGGCAAGAAGCACAGTACGAGTATGACGCTCGGCGCCAATCGTCCTGTTGGCGATGCGTCGAAGCACGAGCCTCTGGTCTACCAAGGAAGTCAATCGCAGCCACTGCGCACGTCGTCCCGACCGAGAGTGCCCAGTCGGTGCCAGTGACTAAGACGCGCGGACCGACCATGGCGCCTCCTCTCGCGGCCCCAGGTAGCATCAAACGATGAACGCCGTCGGAAAACAGGATCAAAGAGAATGCCTTGATGACAAAGCTCGGCGCCAAGGCCTTTTAGCCTTAAAGTCAACCATTCGGTAACTGAAAAATCTAGCTTATAAACCCTCGTTCCGAAATTTCCGCAAAAATCAGCTGGGATTGTCGGCGCGAATGTCGAACCCAGTTAGGACCCCTGGCGCAACGGTAGCGCGTTCGACTCCAGGGTTGGTATCGAAAGGTTATCTGTTCAAATCAGGTGGGGTTCAACGTATGTTTTTTTTATATGGTCTCCGTTTTTGTAGCCTTAGGATTTGATGCAGGACGTCGAATTGCGTACAATCTACCGTGCCTCCGTCAGCGTTGCACTATCGGCTCCGTTTATGATTTAATTTTTGCTGAGTTCTCATTGTAAGTTCGTACCATTGCACGATGTCGTCACACTCGACCCGGACGCGGAGAGCGACAGAAATCCGAGATTACTGGTCCGGAATCGTCGGGTTCTTACGTCCTGAACAGCAAGATGGAGAGAGGAACGGCCTCGATTGGACGACCGCTGAGATATCCACCAAGTCCAGCAAGCTGATAGTCAGCAAGAGCAAGGATGTAACACGACTCAGCTACGCCAACCGCCTGCGACACGAAGCCGTCTTGGACAACTGGGAGCTGTACGATGCGTCGGGAGGCTTGAAGTATGAACTCGTCCCCAACTGGGCGGACTTGGGAACCCCATTACTTGCTGTCCAGGCAAGACGCGTCGGCACAGTCTTGGCAAGCGGTGCGAGCATCCCTCGTGATGCTTTCAAGGATCCTGATCTCCCCGTCAGGACACTCGCTCTGGTCCAAGACTGGCACGCGTTGTACCACAAGGTAGCACCGTCTCCCGATGAAAATGCATTCTGGAGGACGACGTTCATGGCCAGAAACCCCCCATGGCACTGGATGAGCTGTACGCTCTTCGAGGCTGCAAGGCGCTGGCAGTGCTACGGCGAGGATCCGCCGCCGATGCCCATTCCCTGAAGTTCGTGGGCCTCTGCTTCCTGGATACCTGGATGAACGGCAAGGCCATATACGGCAAATCGGCTTGGGAGACGCTTGAGCTGTCCTAGGAAGCCTTCCTCTTGGTTGGGAACAGTATCTACAGAAGCAGCAGCCTGGGATGCCGGCTGAGTGAAGTGACTCAACTCGGTATACTCGCGAACTTGCTCGACTCGATACACTCGCGTGAACTGACTCAACTCTACATACTCGCTATTACACGGTGTAGTTACAGTACAATCCCACGTAGTCAACTCGTTCCTTCCACCCATACCCAGGTTTGGGACTTCTATTCGGTCTTGCACAGAGTCGCATGCCAGATCCCTCTCGTTGTCTACCAACGTATTACCCGAGATGCGGCCAGATAGACAGTGCTGGAACTGGGACTGCTGCTGTATTGAGTGCTATCTGATTCTGTCTATCGTTAACTCTTTTATTTTTCGTTCCTCTACTTTTTGCAGAGCTTGCTAAACCAATGAACGTGAATGCCGGGACCAAAACATCGCCTGCAAATACCTAGCCCTATTGTTGACAGACGTGTTAGGCATTCATCACAACTTGTCAGGTCGGTCCCGTACCCCTTCTCCGAACACCGTGTGGCTGAAGAACTGTTCGCATAGGGAACGGTCCAAGCGGGCAGCTCTGATACTCTGGTCGAACTCTGATCGAACCTCTAGGGTTTGCCCTTCTGCACGAGACCGCCCGCAACGACCCTCCTTAATATGGACCGGATCTTGCTATACCTGACCAACTGCCACAGCGGGCCCGCTTTTATTGTCCACACGGCGTTCCATCATGTCATGACGGTTCTCGTCGGCATGCTGCTTGCTTCTGTTCCAGTACCAGAGCAGCACGATCACAATATAGATCACGCCAACGATCCCGGCGGCGGCGCTGTAGCCTTTCTCACCGCCGGGAGTGTTGTTGGCCAACACGATGCCCGTGGCGCCGTTCACAATGGACACAACCATCAACACTCGTCCGAGCCAGACATGGGAGCGCCGTATCCAAGGGTTGAACATTTGACCGGGCGACTTCCGTTTGTACAGGGAGTGATGCCACTGCCCGACGAGAGGTTGGAGCAGCATTAGAGCCGTGAGGATGGTGCCGAGAACTCCGTGGCCGTATGCATCATTGTATACCTGGAGCAGTCATGCGTCAGTCTCGCGATCAATCAGCTGAGGTGGGGGTCTGTTGAAACATGCTGAGATTCCCTGCGGCGGATAGGATATGGATCTACTGATGTAAATTCCCGCACTCACCTCGTTGTGAATAATACAGACCCAGACCCCAACTCCGAACCCTGATACAAGCATACCCAGGCCCAAGAGCTGGCAGCATATATGGATTTTGAAAAGTGTTCTTCCGCTGACCACACGGTCGAGCAGTCTCCAGCAGATCGAGCCGAAAGGGAAAATCAAGATGACTGTGATTCCCATCAGGATTCCATGGACTTTATCGGAGAGGTGTTTTGTCGCCGGTGGTGCAGAGCGTGAGAAAAGGTGACTTTCCTCACTGGAAGCCATCTCCGAAGCAGACGTTGCCAATACCTGAGAGATCCCCGCGACCAGGAGAAGGAGAAAGAAATGGAACGAGCTTGTACTGCACTTCATCGTTTCAGCAGGAGAAAAAGTGCTCAACCTCGAAATTCCAATGGCAAACTTCAAGTGACCATACAGCGGTGGTATGGAACAGGAAAAAGAGGACGGCCTAAGGAGCGTCGGTGGTGCTCCTTTTGTTGCAGTCACCCCTCATGTAAAACCTTTCCAAGGTCCCATTCTGTTGTCACGGAGAGCCCGCTCCTTCGGCGGATAACGCGATATAGGATTCCATAGTATCGCCCCGGTATTTTCCTCAGTGCCCAACGGCCTCGTTCCCACTTGACACGGGACAGCATTGAGGTGGCTTTCCTAACCAGGCACAAGTAAGTCGCAAAGCAAATCAGAGCACAGGCTACGAGAACAAAGAGTTTTCCACAACCAGGGATTTGTCCGTCATCTGCAAGTGATCTCGTGTCCGATATAACAGACCTGAATCGAGGCATTGTAATAGTTCGGCCCTGGACATTGGGCTGTGGAGCTAGACGGAGACTCTAGAAACTGATATGATTAGATTGATAAATTCCGCCTGATTAGATTGGATGTTCAAAGATTTTTGCATCAGATAAGGAATCCACTGCTGTAGCCGTGTGAGCCGCTGAGAAAAGCCACGGTCATTCTCCGCAGCGCTCTCGGATAGCCCATGATCAAGCATCATTAAGACGTGACCAATTCGAGCGGGAGTGATTAAAATTTGTTGCTTCATTGATCAAGCTCGAAAGCCAAGAGGTTTCGCTTGAAGAGAGGGTCGATGCAGGAAGGGCACAAACACAAGACACAACACTCGGGGGGTGCGGCGTCCAAGAGGCGGCAAAAACCGGGCTGAGATCGGGACCTAATTGTTTTAATTAGCAAGAATAAGAGTATATATAGAAAAATGTGCAGCACGCATGAAGCTTACCACCGTCTCCATCCAGAGTAAATAGTTCGTTGCTTGGAGGGGCAACATACGAGTCTCTTACCAGCTTCCGCTTTCGCAACTTCACCGGCCCATGACACGTGGGAATGAAGCGATTCCATACCCGCGTGTCCAGCGTCTTAAAGAAGCTAAAAGAAGAGGCATATGCGTATGAGGTAAGTGGCTAGAGGACGAGGTACAGATAAAGAGAAGCACAGGACGGTCGAGGCGACGGCAACTGAAAGTGTCGTGAGTGTTTAGAATTTGGCTGGTGAGTTGAGGCGAGGGGGTGAGACGCGACTGGTGGCTCGTAAAAGCGGCACGGTCAGCACGCGAGGTTGGAGTCGTGCTTACTCATCTCTGCTGGCCACGCTCGCTGATATTATCGTTCGCAATCTTCTTGCATGTTGATTTCGCATATTATCGCAGCTGAAGCATTGAGAATGCCTCAGTGACATCTCCATGATTGAATCATATGTGCACATCTGCCCAGGTGGCTAGGCATGTGGACGCTTCCTACATCCAGAAGCCCACCAGCAACACCCACGCCTCTCCAAAATAGTACGAGAACTGACTTGGGTTCTCGCATGGACTTTTATTATGCCCGTGCCGCAATGTCCTGTGCAAGTCCTTGCTAAGACGCTAACACTCAACTGTGGCAACCAAGTTATCGTACACGCGATCAACTCTCATGCTGCTGCTTCGCAGTGATCTCCTAAACTCGATCCGATGCAGCCATGTCCGTTGATTGCCGCTGGTCAGCCATACCAGGACCAGTGACGAATCTGCCTGTTTCCATATCTTCCAGCTGCGTACCAGACCTCGCAGCCTCCCACCCTTCGTCTCCCACGTAGCCGGGACGCCCGACACCCAGCCAGAACGCACGAGCTCGACTGCGAGCGCCCCAGGCCCACCCAGCCCCGCCTTGAATGGGCAAATGATACCACCGAAAACCGAGCCACGCTGTGAATATGCCCAGGATGGAGCCCGAAATGATGTCGAACCCATGATGGCGATAGTCGTACCAACGAGAGATCGAAACAAACATGGCAGTTGCGATAGGGACGAATGCAATGATAAGAAGATATATTGGAGGCGCAGCCGCTTGATTGCGAGGAGGGTGGATTCGTGAGGACGAGGTTGACTGCGAATTCTTGCTCGGTTTGGCGTCACCGTCTGTTTCTTCATCAAAGGTCGAGATGTATCGCTGACTGTCAGACCCGGGCAATAGGAAAGGAATCTGGACGGCGAATTTGGCACAGATGAAGAAGCAGAGGTAGAGCATGCCTGCCCAGACGAAGCTTGAGTGGCCAGAGGGCCAGCTAGCGAACGCGTTACGCAGCTTGCCTTGGTCGGTCTGACGGCAGATGTGCCAGTCGACGACAATCGGGACAGCAGAGTCCAAAGACGATCCGAATCCACCAACCTGATGTCTGCGTATGGATTCAGGGCTCAAGTCTGGGTCGCAAACAGCCAGCAGAAAGGGTCGAGGTTTGCCCGCGAGGTCTTTCAGACCCTCGGTGATGACAAAGGCGCCTGACAGGGCCACACCGAGGCCCATCCATGCTGCATTCCATTCCCAGAGCTTTCTGCGCCAGATCAGCGCTCTCGGAGTCTTTCTATCGGCCGTCGGACCGGGTACGAAGAGTAACGAGATGGCGGCCGTTATGATTGCAGGCGCGACGATCGCAATGACGATGAGAACTGGGACAGTGACGGTATCATCGTGGTAAGG